ATATGATACGATACGATGCAATACAATGTGATACAACTTTATCGTCAGTTTATTCTGAAATCTATTTTGCGCCCTCAGAGAACTCTGCTCCAAAAGTTCACCAACAAATTAGACATACAATTACACAAACAACACATACCCATAAATACACACCATACAGTCATGACCATGAAACACATCAAATAATGTCCTCAGATTCAGATCTTGATTAGCGGCACACTGATTTTGGTTTAACAACAGACTGATGCATAAACAAATATTTCAGCCTGTTGTGTTTCAAAGGTGGGACTCTGAATCACCTGTTGGAGGGCAGCAGTTGGTAGTGTCTGTTTAGAGCATGCGAGGGGTCAGTGGAAATGCTGTTAGCAAGTCTGAGCGTGCTCTTTTTGTGGGCTGGCAAGGGTTGGCAAATAATCACTGTGCCAATTGGAGTTGATTGTGTAGTTAAGTTTTAAGTTGTGCTTAAACTACAATGCACAAGTTGGTTTGGTGCCATGTGTAGTGGTAGGCGTTATAATAATCTGTGCCAAATCCTGCTTAGAGCTACCAAAAGTTGAGGGCCGACCCTGATTGCGTGGTTTCTTTATAGCATCTGTAATCAATATTTTTTCAATAACAATGTATCAAATGGCAGCTTGAAGAGGATAGGTGAAGGGGAAAGGGGTGGTGCATGTTGATGAACTGACAGAGAATAGACCTTTTCCACAGCAGACATTTTGACTTGTCATAGCAGGAAAAGCACAGGTGAAATTGGGGACATTAACAATGGCTCAATTCCAGTAAGTGTCCGGTGAGACAGCGTGGATAATACAAGGACCTCCCTCAGTGGAATGCAGCTATTATTATTGTTATTGAATACACCTGTGCTTTTCCCACCATGACAGGTTCAAATGTCTGCTGTGGAAAATGTCCATTATCACCTGAATCTGTGGCTCCCCTTGACATCGAGCTTTGGCGAGTTTCAGCTCATTGTTTACAGAAGCTGATTTGCTGTTTCGCTTCCACCATTCTCATAGTGCCATTTTCTGCCACATCACACGGCTGTTTCCAGTGAAAAAGCAAAAAACCAAACAAAACACTATACACTACCTGCTCAACACCAAACAGCAGCCAGACTCAATAGGAACCCAGATGGTGAACACAGTGGAGCACTTCGCAGCCAAAGAGCCACATATTTCCTTCAGGAGCTGGCAGACTGAAAACAAAACTAAACACGAGTTAATACTGGACTTGACTCGAAAACAATGTTGCTCTTTATTTGCTGGAGGTCTAAATAAGAGACTCAGTAGACAAAACGTTTTTGTAGGTTTAAAACTGCACTAGCACTGTGATAGTCTGGTGACCTGTCTAGGGTGTACCCTGTCCTTCGCCCAATGTCAGCTGGCTCCAGCTCCCCTGCAACCTCTAACAGGATAAGTGGTTACGGTAAATGAATGAATGAATGAATAAAACTGCACTAAAGAATATGTTTACATTAACAATGTAAAAAAAAAATCCATGTGTCATGAGTTCATCACCCAGCTCTGCAGTTCCCTCCAGCTCTACAGAGGATTTTAGTGCCTTACAACTTTTGGTTCTACAGTCTGCTACTTTACTGTTTTGGGTGACTCTCACTGCCTTTACCGACTGTATTTTAACCCTCTATATGTTTCATACTCAGCACCAAATGGCTGACACACAAAGTTAGCGATTAGCTCGTGTACACAGTTGCTAAAAAGTCTGATATTTTCTTTGAGAAGGGAAGAGCTAACAGAGGAGAGCAAACCAGAGCTAACAGAGGAGTGAATATTGTGAGAGTGAATATAACCTAACCTGCATGTCTTTGGACTGTGGCAGGAAGCCGGAATACACGGGGAGGACATGTAAGCATAGTGTACTGTTTAGCTGTAAAATGAGAAAGTTTCCTCTTGCTGGTGGGCAGTGTTTGGTGTTTCAGTATGGTGGCGAGGCCCCCATCCTGGGTCCAAACCAGGAACCCTCTTGGTGTGAGGCGACGATGCTAACCACTGCACCACCATGTCGCAAAAGGAAGAAGTGTAGGCTATACTTATAAAATCTTAGCTCCTTCTCACTATTCATCTCTCATTTAAAAATGAAGATGTCAACAGCTATCCCAAATGTACTTAACAACCATTAATATAGATAAATAAACAACAATCGCAGATATTAAATATACAAACCCCATCTTAACTTTATTGACATCCTAAATAACATCCAGAGCCAAGATGAATAAATAAACCAGCCCATCAGCATAATCCATCTTTGTCTGTATACTTCCTAAAAAACCCTTCAGCCTTTGTCATATTTGATGAAACTGTCACTAAATCCTGACAGTAGTACATGAGACAGATCATTTGTGAAAAGCAATCACATTCGTCTGTCTGCCTTTAATGGCATTTGCATGACTCCATCGCACATAAACAAAAACAACCAGTAAGAACTGAGGATCACTGCTCGTGAATTGTGGTCAAACTGTCAAATAAGTCAGCGCTGATCAAATATGAATCAAGATTTCAAATGTTTTCAGGAACATATTTTAGTGTACTGTTTAGCTGTAAAATGAAAACGTTTGTGACCTGGCCGCCATATTTAAAACAGTTGAGTATAAACCAATCACTGCCCACCAGCTGGAGGACAACATTCTTATTTTACAGCTAAACAGTACACTAAAATATGTTTCTCAAAATATCTGAGGTGAGAAATATCTAATCCAATGACATAATCTTGAGTCATATTTGATCAGCGCTGCCTAATTTGAAAGGTTGACTGCAGTTCACTAGCAGTAATTGACATGACTGACAGCTGTTTCCTGTTGTTGCCATTAGGAACACTGTGAGGAGGCAGAAGAATATGTTTTATTTTCACAGTTTAGGCAAATAAGACAAAAAGTTTATATATATATATATATATATATATATATAAAAGTTACCAACTGTAGCTTTAAACTTTAAGTGAATAAAAAGTTTTACCTTGAGAATACACAACAGAAAGACTCCTGTGAGGATGATGATATAGATTCACAGAGTCACACTGACTATAAAACGCAGGGAGGAAGAAATAACTGGAGGCTAGCAGAAAGCATATTGGACTTAAGTACTTCTCCAGGGTTAAGCATTAATTCAACACGTACATGATGTAGCATAGGATGAACAAATCCAAAACTACCTTTTTATTCCTACTGCTGCTTCACAGTCCCTGAATTACGGTCCTTTCACAGAGTGAGAGAGCTTGTTAGTCAGGATTCAGTGACCTTATAAATATTCATCTGGCTGAAAAAGATGGCTCATGGCAATTACTAAGAAGATAATATTTGTTCTACTCTTGACAATCCCATAATGAGCTGCAGATGTATCGCTGGCTGTCATGGGTTCACATTCAATATTAATTCATTCAAAAAGATGTGAGAATCGGGCCCATAAGAGTAGCGACTAATGCAGGGGAGAAGACGGATGATGGCCTCAGAAGCTTTCTGGCTTTTACAGCTGCAGTAGTAATTTCACAGGATTCCCACTGTCACGATTAATTCTACTTTCACGGATGTGCGTTGTGTCTTTTCATTTTAAGCAGGTATTTGGTTGTTAAGAAAAGAGAGACTTTTTAAGCTGTCAAAATATGAATATACAGGTTTAAAGATCAAGTGTGTAGGATTAAATATAAGTCTGTTTTCTTTGGTGTATAATCACCTGAAAATAAGACTGTATTTGTTACTTTAGAATGAGCCATTTATATCTACATAGGGGGCAGGCTCTTGTCCACAGAGTACGTCATGTTGCACCGCCATGTTTCTACAGTAGCTCAGAATGGACAAACCAAACACTGGCTCTGGATAACATGCTGCGTAGTGTTGGAAAAACACTGATTTGTAATGTGACACTGCTTAATTAAGTGTTATTACCGGTTTTAATCACCTGGTCTGTTTGTTTTGAAGAACAAGAGGCCTCTACGGATAATTCGGCTCCAGGTGAAAACCTCCTGCCCAATGAACACTGAAGGAATTCTAACGGGAAGAAGTTTTAATGGGTTGAAATCTGCAGCTCTCACTGTCAGATCACACTAAATCCCCCCCTAAATCTCACACACTGTTCCTTTAAATGCAGTATTTGCCGTTATTTGCTCTCACAGGTTTTATTTAATATTCCCAGCTGCAGTTAAAGCCCCAAACACTGACGCCAAATGTGGCTGGATCCTGACAGGAGTGATCATCATCATCAAGTCAGGATGATTAGATTCTCATAGATTTATTTCCCAAGATGTGTAATGCAATAGGGAAATTAAACACCTGAGAAAATGAAACTTGAGGATAGAGGAAACCTAACTGAATCTAAATGAATGACCTGCCCTGACTTTTACGGAGTCATCCTGTTCTCTCACAAAAAACAAAACAAAATCTGACTCTTTAGCACTTAATAGCACTTTTTATGCTGCTAAATGTAAGTCAAACATAGGCATATCTGTGTGTATTTCAATAACCTCTGAACAATGCATGCAATCAGTCAAAAGAGGAGAAAATAAACAGTGACATGTTTACCAGACAGAGGGAAATAAAGGCATTAGTCAAAAGCTTCATGTTGACTTCATATGATTGATGTCTTTTAAAATAATTTCTCCTTTGATAGGACTTTCACACTGCATAATACAGGAGAAGCTGATTGTTGCAGTTGCAAGGTGACTGATCTGATCTGGGTGTACACAACCATCCATATTAATCAGCATTACCTCATCGCCAACCAGCTAAACTTGGTCAAAAACCACCCTCTGCTGGCTACATTTAGAGCTGTTTGAACTTGAAAAAGTACTAAAACGATGCAGTGTGTTGCCCAGTTTATATTTCACGACTACATTTAATCATAAATGTAGTTCCGTGCAAAATAACGCACAAATTAGTGCTTATTTTAGGCGTTAAACGGCTCAGTTTGCGTACCTTCCATCTCTGACTCCATTTCCCGTGAGCCTCCAGCCCGCAGCGCACTCCGTGACGTCAACTTTAGTCGACTGTCAAACACACCACAGAAACAAACTGACCTGATGGACGTATTAAAACACTGAAAGTGTCAATTTTAGTGCTATTCAGTGGCGGTGGCCGTGTTTGGTGGCAGTCAGCCACTCAGTCTGACATGTATCTGTTATTTTATGCGGCCGAAACTTCAGTTTATATTTTATTTGGTTAGTTATTCCGCTCATAAACCAGCTCGTGTTATTGCTGGAAAGCTGTCTTAGCTAGTTCAAAATGACTCTTCCAGCTGTGTTCAACACCGGTGTGCTCTACAGACGGATTCTGGCTCAGTTTCCTCAGGACATCAGTTTAGCTTTTGCTTATGGGTCTGGCGTTTTCAAACAACACGGGACCAACCAAGGTCAAATGGAGGTAGGTGACACCTGTCCTGCCAGTTCACTAAGTCACATTGGATATTGTTGTGTAGTCTTTTTCAGCCACACCAATGGTCCATTTTCCTTGAAGAAGGACACTTATCATGATAGTTTTTCAGCGCCTCACTCACAAACTAATTACATGTCAGGAGCTAGGCACTGCCCTAGTACCAGGGTGTCTACAGGTCCTTAAAAAGCCTGAAAATGTCTTAAATTCAGTGTTACAACAGCCTTAAAAGTCATTAAATAGTCTTAAATTTGAATTTGTGAGGTCTTAACTTCTACAAACATTTTATCCAGTATCATTTATACATTTTTTAATGTCTTTATGTGAAAATGAGTGAAGGCTTTCTTTGTAAAAGTCCACATTTATAATGTTACAAATCTTGAAAAATCTATAATACTGTCATTTTTACTTCATACTTGCACTTACCTGTTGGCAAAATGTAGATGGACTTAACTTACTGTAATAACCATATTCCTACATAACACTTACTTCTGCTCAAGACCACATATGTACTAATTACCTGCAATGCTTAAATAAGTAAAACATGTTTTGTCCAAAAAAATCTGTCCTGAATTTGTCCTGAAGTGGTCTTGAACAGGTTTTATGAAGCATTAAATTGAACTGTCTGATACCTGTAGACACCCTGAGTCCATGAAGGGATGGCAATGTGGTTAAAGTCAATATCACTATATAAATATCAATATTTTAAATCAGTCTCATTCTATGAATAATAATATTTGAATCAATATCACTGTATTATCCTGACTTTTTGAAATCAATCTTACTGTGTTATTATGAATATTTCTCTGATATAGGCCTAAATTCATTGTGCATCACAGTATTACAAATATCTATCGTCCAAACACCTATTCCATAAATCTAACTATCTACTACTACTAAAATAATCCAAATGTTTACAATGTCATGAGCTCTGCTCCACTGTTACGCATTATGTCAGACACACCTCTTCACATATGTGTAACAATAATTCATTTAATTAGTTTAATTTGTTTTATCGTCTTTTGTAACAGTTTGCTCAGTTTTCTTAATTTGAGCAACAGAATCTAATTAACACAGTGTCATCATGTCATCACAATTTGATTCCAGTGAAAGCTGATAAATAACAATATTGAGTGTTAGAATTTGAAGCTGTATCTGTATTCCTTTGATAAGAAAATGTGATGCTGTTGTATTTGCCTTTGATACATGTAGAAGAACATGCTTGACTTTGTGTTTGCGGTGGACGACCCAGTGACGTGGCACACCATGAATCTGCTGCAGAATCGCAAACACTACTCCATCCTCAAGCTGCTCGGGCCCACGATGATCAGCTCCATACAAAACGATCACGGGGCTTCGGTGTACTACAACACACTGGTGCCTGTGGATGGGAGGGTAAATGACTCTAGTTTCTATATTTCAGCATCTTTTCTAAACCAACCAACTCAGTCCACCATGACTGAACTAGTCCAGTTCTCACTTAATATTAAAATCTTCACATGCGTTTCTTCAGTCGTCACAGTTTGTGGTGTCTGTTTCTCACAGGAATTCACTGTTGTTATTGTTCTGATTTTAGTGTTTGTTTTGACAAACAATATTCGTTTTAAGTGGAGATAAAGTACGATTAGCTCCTGAGTTTGAGGCATAAAACTTATGGATAACAGTAATTCACATCATCTCTTGCTCTTATTTATTAAACTTTATTTAAGCTTGTTGTATTATTTTATCTTACTAGACTTTATTAACTATGTAATTTAATGACCTTCTCCTCTTCTTCTCAGATAATTAAATATGGTGTGATCAGTACAGAGTCTCTCATAGATGACCTGATGCACTGGAACACCATGTATGTTGCTGGACGCCTTCACAAACCAGTCAGTATCACAATCATTACATTTATTTATTGTTTGATCAGACTGTTATGGATCAATCCTAACAACCAAGCTGTTTAAAACTCATTATTTTATTGTGCAATCATCAGGGTTCTCATGGTCAAGGAAAAGCTGGAAAATTCACATTGTCCAGGCCTGGAAAAGTTATGGAATTAGTAAAAATCATTGAAAGTTTTTGAAAAGTCATGGAATTTATTTGTTTGTGTAATGAAATTGTTACAGTTATCATCCATGGATAACCCTACACATAATGTAGCACAACAGCAAATGTATATTCTGTAGCTGTTTACCTAACATGGCTCTAACATGTATCGATATGTGACGTTTTGTTTACCATCACATGTTTCTTCATTTTCCCTCCCTACTCATGTATGCCAGCTGAAATTATGTTTGAATAGAGTTTGAATCTGATATAAAAAAAAAAACACAGGGCAAGTAGTCATGGAACAGTTTTAAAATCCTGTCCATAAAAATGTGTGGGAACCCTGAATCATTTATTGGACAAAATAATTTTTGTCAAACCAGTCAGATGTTTTCTTATATTCCTATGTTTTCCATAATCACTACCTATTCAGTTAAATCTTCAGGTTTTGCTCATGTGCACAAATGTTTGCTTCCATACTCATGTGTGTTCGCACATTTTTTTATGTGTTCCCACCCATCGCAGGTGAAGATGTTGGTGCAGAATGAGAACGGAAAGCTCCGCGCTGCTCTGGTTTCCAACCTGAAGAGTGCTGTGATAGCCTCCTTCCTCATGCTGCCAGAGAGCTTCACTGAGGAAGACCTCTTCCTGCAGATAGCTGGTCTTTCTTATGCTGGTAACCACAGGATAAGATTGAACATGTACACATTTCTAAGATGCAGGCACGCTGAGACACAAATCTACCAAATCAGATTATAGACACAAAAAATAATTTTCCTTTCTATTCTTTCTCTCCCACATAGTGCACACACACACAAATACTGTTTGTAATAACAGTCTGGCCTATGTGGTTCAAAACTTTTAAATGCAAGTACAGTGTGATTCAACATGCTGGACATTATTGGTAACCCATCTCTTAGCAGCTGAGTTAGTTTTCTGATGGATGAATGAAAGTAATTAGACTGATGGTGAAAGTTCCTCATGACACAAAACTTATCTGGTTAATATATACAAATACAAACGTGAAATTGAAGCAGATAAATGAATGCTGACCCTACGACTGTTGGCATGCAAACAGTATGCTAATCTGGGGAGAGTTATCACAAAGGTCTCCGTTTCCTCTCTTGGGATCAATAAAGACGTATCTTATCTCAGTTCCTACAGCAAGAGATTAAACACTTCAAAGCCAATATATTACACTTAGGGGAAAACATTTTGTCTGTGCCTCTTCAGGGGATTTTAGAATGGTGATCGGAGAAGATAAATCCAAGGTGGTCAATATCGTCAAAGACAACGTTCAGCACTTCCGGATCCTGTACAGCAACATCCTACGAGACTGCCCTCAAGTGGTCTACAAACCACACCACGGGAAACTGGAGGTAAAATACAAAATATGGCTCCGAACACACACACACACACACACTCACACACTTTTATAATCTCACGTAATATGTGAGCAACAGAGAGTACATTGTGCGCTGCATCTACAGTTTTTCCTCGTTTAACACTTACATTTTATTACCTGTGGGCCAAAAGTGTGAGTCAAAATTCCATGGGTGTCATGGTGACAAATTAATCTCGAGATTTATTCCTCAGAAGTTAAGTTTGCGGAGTTACAAGGCGTCTGCTGCAAAATCTGAAATACATCTAAAATTAAAATGTATAATGTGATACCTTGAAACTCTTACATAAAAACGTCTCAGTGCCAGGTGTGTGTGGGACATGTGTGGGGAACAGAGAGTGCAGGGCAGGCTGTGTATCCAGTGTGTGTATACATGACAGTGGTGAGATGAAGGGAAGATGATATGTTACATAAGAAAGTTACGTTATCAAGGTGTAACTGGAGCAGACAGGTTATATGGAGACAAACCTCAGACACAATGTCCAATAAAACCCTACCTACGTCTCTCTCCTCACAAACAAAGACGGGTTGAATCTCACTCATTTGTCCCTCCCAGCTCCCTTACAGTCAAGATGGCGGTGGAAATAACAAATACAGGGATTAATTCATCCTTTATTTTGCCTAACTTTAGTGGATCATAACAATTCAGATGTGGAATTAGTTAGAAGATGCTCCAGTTCAAAATGAGACTTAAATTTTCTATGGATGTTAGGTTTTTAGCCACGTCAAAGGGGAAAATGTGGCTTGCAGCACACGGTAAGGCTTGTTCTTAGGCTAAGTGATTGCGGGACATGCCTTTTGCAATGTGATTTTGTTGCCTAGAGGAGGAGAGTAGTCAGTAAAACAGGTAAACTGTGAATTACTGCAACAAGAGGTCCTTGAGCCTACAGTCATAAATTTGAACAAAACATATTAGGCTGTTGGGTCCAGTAGTTTGTGAAATAAGCTGCGGTCAGACAGACAGACAGCTACACACAAACAACCGAGCACATGATTCCCTCCAGGCTTACACCTGGCCGAGATAACTAACAGGAACACTGGTTTGACCTGAACAGTACAGAGTGTACTCACAGCCTTGGTAGTAAACATTAAATGGGGTGTGACTCACCTGGCACTTTGCCCCGTTACCTGCGTTCCATACATTATCAACTAATACAACCTGGAAAATGTGTCTGTGTTTGCACATTGAATGGCATGAATATGTATTCCTCTCCATGTTTTATAATTGTAAGGTTTTATCTTATATTTTTTTATTATTAAATGTTTACACCAACAAGGAACGACTCATCACACTATCCTGGAGTAACAGGAATAAGTGGTTAGGCGTGTTTAAGTGTGTGAGTAACACATTTTGCAGTGAATAATGCTTTTGGAAAGTGTGCGCTGTGAGCCCTGCATATGGGAAATTAGGGGTGTAGCCTATTCCAAAGCTTTGTAGCAGCTACCACAAAGTACGATCTCCCTTACCCACCAGCCTTGATCGCGGGACAGTTAAAAGACATTGTTCCGAAGATCTAGGAGGTCAGGAGTTGGAGTAGGGGCAGAGAAGTTCAGCAACATACTGGGGTGCCAGCCCATGTATGGCTTTAAAAACAAATAAAAGAACCTTAAGATCAGTCCTGTATTTGATAGTATTTGATTTCTATGTTGGACTACATTGTGTCTGACCACTCACATGTGACATGGATGTGGCTGTCAGCTCTGCTGCTGGTATTCAGTCCACTGTGTGTATCTCTGTCTACATTTTTCTTGTTTCTCATTCTGTCTGCAGGTTGACAAAAGCCCAGAGGGACAGTTTACTCAGCTGATGGCATTGCCTCGGACCCTCCAGCAAAGGATCACGAAGCTGGTGGATCCTCCGGGGAAAAACCGAGACGTGGAGGAGATCCTGCTGCAGGTTGCTCAGGACCCAGACTGCGGAGCTGTCGTGCAGCAAGGTTTGGGCTACAGAATGGGTGGAGGGATGTCAAATAGAGGGAGAGGCAGGCAGAGAGAGGGATAGATAGATGGATGGGAAAAAGTCATTGCTCTCTGATGTTTCATTAAAACTCACACAATGCGATTTGAGATACATTTTGCGTGTACAGATCAAAGGTGATATCGTGTGTGGTGAATATTAAATAAAGTACGATTATGTGACAAAATGAATAATGATAGGAATCCATTGACTCAGTATATTAACAAAGATAATATATTATTAAAACGTGCTCGGAATAGATGTGCTGTGATAATGGACAGGAAAACAAAACAAGTAGTAAATCAAATAAACATGTCATCCTTTGGAAACTAAGGCCCATTAGTTCCAAGATGCATCATCACTCCTGGGTTCATTTAAATCTGTACTGTAGCAGATCAGGTTGTCATTTTGAGCAGTAAATGTAATTTTAATTATGGGAGCACATTCCTTAAAATGTATTCCCGATTGTCCCAGTGCTGTCTGAGATACAGCTTCACATCTGAATAAACAAATCTAACATTATGTAATCATGTTAATCTGTCGCTAGATTGAACAGTGTCATTTTTTAGGACATTATGAGTGTGTAGCTGTTTCACGTCATGTTGAAAGAATTAAGCTGATTCAGAGTAAAGATCAAGTAAATGGCAAACAATTTATCCTTTATCGATTCTTGTGTTGACTTTGTCTCATCATATGGTCTGTAGCCACAAGTATCATATCATACAATCATATTTCAGAGTTATTAGATATTAGTTGTTGTATAACTGCATGTTTGAGCATGTTCTTGTTTCTCCTCAGGTATTGCATCGATTGTGAAAACCTCCAGTATAACACAGAGTATCAAATGCATTGCAACAGCTGGTAGGCACCTTCTTCTTCTTTGTTTGATGTTTGGGGAAAAATCCTAAATTAGACATTGTCATGTTTTGTTTGTAAAGGCTGATTCGGTTCTCCAGATCTCTTTACTTATTTGCTTTCTCGCAGATAAATACATAAAAAGAGTGACTATTTCTGTATGCTGTCTTTGGAGATATAACCTACCAGCACCTCTAAAGCTTTCTAATTTACACATTATATTGCATTTGTAAAAGAAACAAGGTGCAAAAATCACAATATATGGCTTCATGCTGCAAGGTGAATTTTGTTATCTTTGGACAGAGTCAGGTTAGTAGTTTCCCCCTGTTTCTAGTCTTTGTGCTAAACTGACTGATTGCTGGGTGTTGCTTCATACTGTACAGATATGAGAGTGGTATCAATCTTCTCATGTAACTCATGGCAGGACAGCCAAGTAGCTTATTCACCAAAATGTCAAACTATTGCTTTAACACGGCCTTACCTTCTAATTAGAAAAGAAATGGAAATGATATAATGGATAAATTGGACATGTATGAGGGTGTCTGCAGGTCCTTTAAAAAATATAAAATATTAGGCCTTAAAATTAATTAAATACTCTTAAATTTTGTGAAATCTTAATTGCAACAAACATTCTATGTAATATAATTTATTCTTCTATTTTTTTTGTCAAACTGAGTCAAGCTCTTTGTCCACATTTCTGATGTTACGAATCTTTAAACCTACCACAGAGCATTATATTGTTGTCATATTTTTACATTGTTTTTTCACTTACCTGGTGGCAAAACTCAACCTGATAAGCATATTCCTAAATAAAACCTACATCTGCAGGGAACTACATATATACACTGCTTACCTTTCTACTTACCTGCAATGCTTGAATAAGAAAAATATGATTTGTCCAAAAATCTGTCTCATATTTGGTTAAAAATTATCTTGAAAAGGTCTTAAAAAGCATCAGATTAAGTTCAGTCAGGAACACTTTAGTCAAAGAAAACTTATTTGTGTTTGCAGTATTATATTTGGCGGCATGGCTCTGTTCTGGGGCCTCTCTACTTTTCCTCGGGGCCTACGCAGAAAGCCTCTTCCACATGCCTATGTGGAAAGCATAAGGCAGAGAGAGCACACCTCTCTGCCCTTCCACGTGCAAACGAGGAAAGCCAGAGGCAAAGAAAGCAAATCTCCCTGCCCTTCCATGCGCATACATGTAAAGCCTAAGGCAGGGACAGCAGCAGCAAAGACCCCTCGGGAACAGGACAGAGCAGCATCAATGACAAACAGAAATGACATTGATAAGTCAGACACAGCATGAAAAGGAGGAGCTGGTGTGGAGGCGGGTTGCAGAGTGGCTTGCAGAGGAAGCAGCAACAGTAGGCAGGCCAGAGCAGTGACGTGCCTGAACTAACGCTATGCTCAATATGTCTGATATTTGCAGACACCACCTCTTTAAAGTGTTTCATTAAATTTCCCAAGAACTAGTTTAATATAGAAATAGTGTTCTTCTAATGTGGTTGCTAAAGTTAATGTCCTGTGTGTCCTTCTCAGGAATGTGGAAGACGGTGTCGTACAGCTCCAAGAAACTGATGAAGATGTGGAGGGGCTGGAGGAGGAAGCAGTCAGTCTCACAGATGTCCTGATCCTGTTCCAGGTCTTTCTCTTTGAACTCTCAGCCAGATAATCCACGTCCATCCTCTGATTTTTACCCCGACAAACTGTGGCTGGAAGAACCACACACTCACCTCTCCTTTGGTTCTATCACTGCGTCGCCTCTATGAATGGGATCGCTGAGCAGGGTGTAAATCCGTGTCTTGAATAGCATAGAATCGTCTATACAGCTGCCTGTTATCATGCAGTTCATGAAAGCTGAAGAAAAAAGGGTGACATTTTACGAGCGTGACTGAATTACGGCTGACATTTAATGGTACTAAGGACCTTTCTGCGAGATGACTACAGTGACTGGCGGGGAGCTGCTGAATCGGCTATCTCTGGAGCCACAGCACTAAATCAGCGTGAGCACAGCGTACATCAAGTACCACAAGTATAATGAAGAAAATACTTTGGTGTCTTCTGCCACGTTTTGAATTGAGTGTTGTGAGAGGGTTTCGTTGAACTCTTTCAGATGTGGACCACTGTTACATGTCACACACACTTGTTATCCTCCTCTCACATTGCCAAAGATCAAGAATATTTCATCTCTTTGCTCTTCAACACCATCTCAAAAAGGTTGTCCGATATTTATGTCTGTATTCATGAAATAGAAAATAGGATCACATTTATTTTATCATGAAAATGTTCCTCACTGTTACATTTTATCTCTTTGCTGCCCTGCTGTTATGAACTGGTCATAGTCACAACTGGAGGTCACCAATACTGGCTGTGGTCTAATTCAGTTCAAAGAAATGGGTTTAATAAATATTTTAATACAACAGCATCTATTATGACTCTGTTTTCAGTAGCATGATTTTATTTTTACCTCATGTTAAGTCCTAAATGTGAGGAAATGATCAGAAAAGTCTGTGCTGTTAAACATTGTCGCCATCTGAAGTTAAAACTCAAACTTTTCCTCCAAGTTACGTCACTACTGCTTCACTCAATCATACACACTGCTGTTCAAAAGTTTGGAAAGTTTGATCAGCCAGTCAGAAATGCTTTTTGGTTGTAGAAAGTTCTCTTTACAAAAGGATATTTTGTTATTTTGTGTAAAGAGTTTTCAATCAAAGTAATGCTTTGTACGTGGAGAACAAAACGCTGCACAAGGTTCAAGCAGACTGAAAACTGAGGGAGAGACATGAAGGAAAAAAATCAAAGGTTTAAAAAAGAAGGATGCAAAATCTCACAAAACCTTTTCAGGCTCCAAAAAGAAAAGAAAAGAAAAGGTTAATGTACCTCTGTTCAGTTCGACACCATGGAAACAACCATAACAACAGCGCACACACCAGAGAGGTTTAAAGGATTTTTTTTTTAGATTTACCTCAAATATAAAGACATTAAATCAGTGCTCGGCAGTTTGTACAGCTTTTATTTATGATCACAGTGTGCTGACCACACACGTCTTTCACTGACATGATTCAGTTTAACATTTGTGCAGTCCACAGTCAATCCAACACTTCTCCTTTAGTACATTTCAGAGGGAAGTGTTCTGACAGCTGTAGTTATTAGTTACTTTGCAGGATAAAATTTTATACACAAAACTGACAATCATTTTGTTAAACATGTATTGAGGTAGATTAAACTACCAGTCAGTATATAACATAGCAAAAATGAGCTTTTCTGAAACCAGCTACAGCATGAAATACTCCATACACAGTGATGCATCAGTAACAAGCCAGCTGAACAGGGACGGGGATCACTGTCTGCATTATAAGTACTTCTTCTCAGCGGTGGATGAAGCACTCAGATGTTTAACTGATTGTGAAGCTGTGAAGCACAGACCAGTTGGAGAGGAAGGCTGCGCACAGAATCAGCATGAACTGATCAACAGAAAATTACGGTCAGTCTGTTACCAGATGCGACAGCCGGGCTGGTGTTGTTTTCACCTTGTGAATATGTGTGTGTGTCATGGTAAAATCTGGTCCTGGTGACACTTATCATAGTGGGAACTACCACAGAAGCTGTTTTGAGTATTCTGCCACGTTTATATGTCTCTCTGTGGACAGTTTTTTTTCACCACCATTGCGTCACAACCATGCAAGATGCTGTCACGATACTTCAGAGGTGTGTAGTTGAGATCATAATGAAGGCCCAGTTTGAAGATGGGTGTGGTCAGAGCAAGGATGCTATAAGTAGGGGGGTAGGAAGTATGGAAGGGGCCATTTGCCGCCACTTTACATCCTGGCCCACCTTCGTTTTAGGGTTGCAGATTGGCATTGCGGCTCTTCTGATCACACTGCAAATGGTCTCTAGTTACATCAGCAATTTTTGAATGCATTTCATAAAAAAAATTGACAAGTGTGTCTACAAACAGTAACTGACAATACTGCATCTTTTACCTTGAAGCATGTTTAAGGAAAAATGTGGTACTTAAACTGGGGAGACCTCACCTAGTAGTTTGTGTTCTCCATGTAGGCTGAATCCTTGCAGCAGCATTTGTTTAAATTCAGTCTGCGGCCCTTTGCTGCATGTCATCCCCCTTCTCTCTGCCCCCCTGTCCTGCCAACCTCAAGCTGTCCTATAATTAAAAGGCAAAAAGACCAAAAAAGTTGAGATTGTTGCAGTCTGAAATGCCTGATTTCACTGCAGCTTTTCTACAAAAATGTAATGCATGTTGTAATGTATAGTTATATGGTTTTGGTTTTTTTTTGCAATGAAATTGTGGGGCAAGGGAAAATTGCAAGAATAGTTGTGATGCTGTCACGTACATTATGTAGAGCTTATTATTATGGGAATCAGTGTTTCCCACAGAATTAGAATCTATTTGTGATGGCGGGGGTGGATGGAAGGGGGCAGCTAAACGACCCACTGCATTAGCTGCTCACAACACAACGTGATCTCATCAACATTTGTCATATTTTGCTGCTTGAGCCGAAGCCGCGCAGCAGCGTTCAATACCTGTCACCGAGCCGTTAATCTCACACTGAAATGGCTCGACTCTGTCATTCGACCTGTTAATAACCATTGGTGACATTAGCCATGTGATGCTAACAGTTAGCTCTGTCATTGCGTGTATGTGTGTGACTCTGTCCCACATGTGGAGCTCACACTCCCACAGCAGCAGTTTCATGATAAACAGAGAAAGAGAGGGGGATGCTGAGTAATTCAATACACTGCCTGCAGCACAACAGTGAAATGAGATTTTACCAAATTTGCAGTGATTGGACAAAATTGCAAGGTCATGAAGAATTGACGGGCATTGGCTGAATTTGTGTTAAATGATGCAGTGGCAACATCCTTGAGGGACAGACTAACTAAACTTAAAATGTAAACTCATATCCCCATTAACAGACCAGGAATCTAAGTCTTCTTCGTTGCTCTTATTCAACTGGACGCAGGTACACAAAATTGTTATATTTATTAGCCCAGATGCCGGGGTAAACAGGCTCAGTGAATGTGTTGTGGAAGGTGTAGAGGTGACTCAGTGTGTTAGAAGAGACTCTGTAGAAGGACATAGTGCCAGCAGGCCAGTCCAGAAACACCCCAATTACATTGCAGCAGCTTGAGGGAAAAGGAATTTCCCACACCATACCATCATGCCACGCCCTAAGTGAGCGTATTTTAGATGATAAATATTGGCCAAAAGTCCACGATATGGTATTAGATCCAAAGACGCTCTCTGGGCCGCTTCCTTTTCTTTCAATTCTCTTGTACGAAGCAGCGACATAAGAAGATTCAATGGAACCAGTGCTCAACTCTACCTCCCAGTAATGGCGCTTATTTAACTTCTCTTTGCACAGCGCCTGAGGGTATTTACTGAACCTCTCTGGGTGATCAGGATATGTCTGCCATGCTCCACACGTTGCCTTCTTGTTGCCCTCGGACAGAGTGATGTAGTTGTTTGCAGTGTTCGGGTCCAGGGTGAGATCGCAGGCATCTGATGGAGAGACCACAGCAAAATACGGTATCAGGCATGCTGATGGTTGAACAGGTTTCTGTAATCTGTACAGTGTATTTGAGGCTATGTTCACATTAAAGGCCTCAGTGCTCCATTCTGATTTCCCCAGATCTGCCTCGACGGTTCACATTCATGTTTAAAGTGACCCAGATGTGACATCAGTGTGAACGGATGTCTGCCCTAATGACCGATGACACCATTCTGCATAAAAAATAGCCATGTGCTTCAGTATGAGAGAGTGTGTAGGGCATTTTCGGAGAAATGGCCCTTTGGAACAATGTGGGTTTGTTTTGGGGTTAATAAGCTGTGGTACAAGTGGGCTTTTGGTCCAAACCTGGAGGTCTCGACCCCCACTAGGGGTCACCAAAGCTTCATGGGGGGGGGGGGTAGTGGTACCTTCTTGATTTTAAGGGGTGTAAGGAAAGTTTTAAAAAAATATACAGTAGGCTTATATCTCAGCATTTTATTCATTTCTAAGAAAAAGACTAAATGAAATTAAGGTGGCCGTTTCAACATACCACAGTTCCTAGGCCACTTAGTTCATGAGGTGTCTCAGTTCTGACTCGTGTCTCTGTTCCTTTTCTGGGGATCCACAGTACTCACATGAGGCAGGGATGCATGGCCAGTGATTGAATATGTATCAGATTTAGGACCACATATGAGAGTGGCCTGGATTTAATTGGAAAAAAAAATTGGGTTTCTGTGACCACACTGCTTTGAAAAAAATCAGATCTGTGTCACATGAGAGCAACATTTGCTTATAATGTGAACGTAGACTATGACTCAAAGGAGCATGAAAATGACTTACACCAGATCAGATCTCTTCTGTCAGTGATGGTCTCCACATCAGGGAGGTCAGGCTTTGAAAAATCCTCAGTGTCCAGAATGCCGTCCTTGTAGTGGTAGATTGTTGCTCCTGTGTATTTCTTATTTTCTATGGCTGCAACAAGGAAACAGAATCTACTGTTTTTCTTCAGTGCTTTGGCGAGGTCCCTGAAAGCTTTGGCTTTTTTTCTCATTTTCATCACAACACCATCTGAGGAGTACCACTGCTCTTCATCAGTACTTCCCATTTTCGGTGAGTTTAAGGTGTCACCCCTTTTCATGGAGGTGAAAACAAAGCACAGAACGTGCTCTACACCTGGAGCCAGAATCTCTCTGTCCAGCTCGGACTGATTCAGGACGACCTTTGCTCCCTCCATGGAGTCCACACAGGATCTGATGACGTTAATCTCTCTCTCTTTGCGATCCAGCCACTTGCTTAGTTTGTCATGACTGAACAGTGACTTGTCTCTGTCTTCAAAGAGCTGTTCAACTGATCTCTCATCTTCTTTACCCTCACGGATAGAGGGAAGTTTCTCTGCCATTGTGTTCTGGAGTTTACATACGTAATCGCCACACAGTTTTTGGAAAGTGCTTAACTCTTCTTGAATGTGTTGAAACTTCTCCACCACTCTGTCTTCCTGAGAATTGTTGCATCTGATTCCTATTTCCCTCAAATCTTCCAGGGTGTCCTGAGCCTTCCTCACCAGTCCAACGCTGATCCCACTCGTCAGCTCAGCAGCCTCAGAGTCCAAATTCTTCAACGGCATCAGCCAGACCTTCACTGGAACCGCATTCTCTCCATTTTGCCCCAGTAGCTTTGGCAGTTGTGCGTAGGTCTTCACTGCCTCTTCAAATGTTGCAGGATTGCTTTCAAGAATGAAGTCTCCGTAGAATTTACAGGAGAAAGTCTGGGTCAGGGCTTTTTCTGCTTCAGTCAGCTTGATGTCAACTTTTCCCTGAATATTAAAATCAGGAATCTTCTGTATCACAGCTTTCATTTTGACCTCTTTGTCCCTGACGCTGCTGGCTTCTAGCTTCTCACTGTCAAATACAAAGAAAGCATTTGCTCCATAAAGGATGCCCGTGACTACATGTGTTGCCAAGCCCTTCTTAATGACATTTATCTGTTGTGGGTTCATAACTGAAAGGTGTGTCAGTGACAGCTCCTTGAAGTGGGTGGTAGCTTTGTACTGAAACGTCACTCTGCTCTGATTCTTAAATTTCTTCTTGTCATTCAGATACTCAGCAGATCCCTCCACTTCAAACAGTCCACACATGAAACTGGCCTTCAGAGAAGCATCGACCTTCAGCAGAGAGGACTTGGATTCAATGGAGTCAGATGCAGAAATGGCAAAGGCACTGCTGCGCTGAGGACTTTCAGTTATCCTCTCCTGTAGAGCTTTACCGTCCCACAGTCTAAAACCTGCGGAAAAAACATTTGATAAAGCAAGAAAACTATTTTGTTAAAGCAGCAGTATGCGACATGCAGAGCACATGTATGATTGAGGGGCTGTCTGGACACTGCTCTCAACACAGAGGTGGCTGAGCTTGCGCCTAGCAGCTAATGATGCTAGCAACGGTAACAGTGCTGACAGAGCTAACAGAAAAAAGAAGAAGAAAAAATTGCAAAAATAGCTGTGGTGCTATCCTGGCTTCAGCATTCTGTGTTTCCTAGAATTAGACTATAACTGTGATCAGCAGCTGTTGCTACCATTCGACGCAGCGCTGAAGGTGAGCCACACTCCTGCTCTCTTTGCCTGGTTAGCACAAGCTAACACAGCAGCGGCGGCTAACATCCGTCTCCGAGCCATTTAACGACACCATCACCGAAACAGCTACATTTTGTCATTAAAGCCATTAATAACCATTAGGTAAAGTGAGCTGTGTGATACCGAACAGTCAGTCCTGTCACTGTGTGTGAATTTGTGGTGAATTTTGCTGATGGACACAATTGCATGTAACATGTAACATAAGCGCAGCCACAACAACAAACAGAGAAGCTCGGATTACAACACACACAGAGGGAGCGTGACTATTCTCTGCTCATTACTCTACTATAACTTAACATAGAAATATTTGTTGCTGGTATTATTAATGTTCTGGATGTCGCATAGAGCTCCTTTCATATAATGTCACAGGGAAATAAACATAATCATTAAGTGTGGGGTAAAAAAAATGATACAGCATCGTATCGCAATATTTTTTTGTAGTAATACCGTATCGTCACACAATGCCACGTATCGATTTTTTATTACGTAAATTATTAATATGACGAATACAGATAAACTTTAGGTAGCCTACTTGAATAATAAAATCAATTGCTTTATCTTAGTTTTCCTTTGGGGACATTATTTGCAGGTGAAAACACGTTATAAATCTCAATATATCAGTAAATATTTTATCGCAATACTCAGCATATCACAACACGTTTAAAATCGCAATAATATTGTATCGAGACTAAAGTATTGTGATATTGTATCGTGTCAGGGAGCCCTGATAATCATTTACATTTCTGGAATGTTGCAGCTTATCCTGCCAGCAGCTTATATATTTATTGCAAAGAAGTACAGGATACAGGGCGTATGGAAACCTAATATGACAGGAGGATAACTGTGCAACATTGGAACAATAAGACTTCCTGTATGTACCTTTAGACCTCTGATTACAATGGGATCATTTGAAAACATTTCACAATAGTTGGGTATCACAGTATTTTTGAAAACACAGTGAGTAATCAACTCGAGTAAAATATAATCGCATCATTCTCTCTGCCATGGTCTCAGCCGATGCTCTGTGTGTGTGTGTGTGTGTGTGTGTGTGTGTGTGTGTGTGTGTGTGTGTGTGTGTGTTGCTGGGTAGAGGAGCTCGGCCCCAAACTCATGCAAATAACGACATCAAGCCAGGGAGCATAGAAGAGAGGAAGAGCAGCCAGACTGCACACACAATAAACAATTGCACCGAAATGTTTTGAGCTCTTCTCACTCCCTGTTTAAACGTTTCTCCAGTAGGGCCTACTAAATCAACTCACCCTAAAAATATGTTTTCACTGATATAGAGTCGACCCCTACTCACAGTCTAGTTTCACAGGGTAACCCTAAACTGGGGCTGTTGTGAAATAGCTCAATGGACGTAATTATGACCTGAAATTCTGCAACAATAATGACTTTAGTTTTCCCATTTGCTGCAGGATAATACATCGGTCACCAATATATCATGGATTCCTAGAATGGTCACAACTACATTACAGAATTAAGAAGTATTTGCTAATTGTTATTAAAGTGTGCATGAAAGTTAAACAGGTGAGGTTAAAATAGTGTTACTGCTTTATTAAATGATTTCCTGTAAGCAGAGCTGTGACAGGCAGATATAGTTAGTTCTTTAATAACACTGTAGTCTCAGTCGAGACTTACCTGGGATCACTTCATCTTTACGCGCGTCATAGAGCATTCCTAGGGTGAAAGGTCGACCCAGGGCCGCAGCCGCCATCATATCTGAGGCCATTTCTCCAACCTGTTGAGAAAAAGTAACCACACGGCCTTCAGGACTTCATTTAAACTTTCTTAAGTAGTAAAAGTGCAGTCAACTTTCCTCCTCAACACAATCACACCGTCTGTGGTTAGGAGGTACGTGCACAGATAAGTTGGCACAGCTTAGCACAACAGGTATGTGCCAATGTGCCCGCCCACAAACTGGCACACATGCAAGGTAGAGAAGTTAAACGGGCGTGTGCCTGCAGGACTGCAGTCATGCAGATAGATCCAGGTTTAAGTAAGTTTTGAGTGAGCAGACTTTGATACTGCTGATGAGTTTAATGGAACACTTTTGTGTGCGTGTTGCTCAAAAAGATAAAAAAAACCTAGAGAAACTATACTGTGACTTTTTTGTTACATATAATGGAGAATGTGAAGTTGACCTCATGTCATGTTAAAGTTTGTCTGATGAGCGCCATTTTGTGAGGTGTCTTACTCACAAGAGTCCTCCCATGCCACACCTTAACACACCTGACTCAACCATGCTTCAATTCTGCTAGAGTTTGTTCTAGATATTGATACTGTCCATGATATCTATGCTTAAATCTGAAATAGATTACTATAATAAATGCATGAATTACTCTGATGACATACTCCAGTCAAAAAATAGAAGTATGGATCCTACATATTGTTTTATAAATGAGACCCCTGGATACAGTATTGGATGGGACATCCTGTTTGTTCCTATGAAAGTTGCTCACTGGAGGATACAGCCAAAAAAGTTATCTCCGCGGTATGAAATTACCTGGATGACTGGCACTGCTTCCACATCATCGGACCCATAGAGCAGACGCACTACATATTACCGCTGGTCGAGCTGGCTACTTCGTGTTTAGCACTCTGCTAACTTAAATGGGAATAAAATGTTTTAATCTTGCAGCTCTTCTAGACTTTCCAAAATTTAATGAGCCATTTCACGGACATTGTGACACTGAAAAAGAATTAGCCACTGACTCACAGATGTCTCTTTCCCAATGTGAAAGAAAAGGTTAGGGTAGAAAAAGCTATTTGGGGCACAATGGCATCACGTGACGGACACAGGTGTTGCAGTACCACTGTTGTTTAACCATTTCAAAAACTGGCTTCATAACCTGGCTCACTCACTGTGGTGTTTGGCTTGTCTGTTCTGGGCTACTGTAGAAACATGGCGGTACAACATGGTGATCTCAGCAGACGCAGACCCGCTACCTATGTAGATGTAAACGTCTCATTCTAAGGTAACGAAAAACACAACAATACTTATTTTCAGGAGCTCATACACTGAAGAATTATATTAATTACATTATTATATTCCATTTCTGGTGGCACGGTGCTGCAGTGGTTAGCACTGCTGCCTCACAGCAAGAGGGTTGTGGGAGCCCTTCTGTGCGGAGTTTGCATGTTCTCCCAGTGACAGCGTGGGTTTTCTCCAGGTACTCCAGCTTCCTCCCACAGTCCAAAGACATGCAGGTTAATTGGTGACTCTAAATTGGCCATAGGTGTGAATGTGAGTGTGAATGGTTGTCTGTCTCTATGTGTCAGCCCTGTGATAGTCTGGTGACCTGTCCAGGGTGTACCCTGCCTCTCGCCCAGTGTCAGCTGGGATAGGCACCAGGCACGAGGAGCTACAGCCAATCACATGACAACAGCCACTATATATTCTACCACATTTCAGTATAATACACATTTTTTTAGTTCACCATACTCAACAATGTTGAAATACAAAAGTATTAAACAGATTAGTTATAGATAGATAGCAAAAGTTAAGGCACCAGCTCTAAATAAACATCAAGAACAACTTTACCTATATATCCATTAATTCAATAAAGATGTATAATTAAAAAATTACAAATTAATTTTCAGATATTTTTTGAATGTATCCCCCTAAATCCTACACACTGTATCTTTAACTTGCTGAGGTCAGATGGACCCCAAGGATAAAAGCTCATACATTTTTAAAACAACAGGAGTGTGAGAGTGAAAGTGCAAGTCATGCTTAACTGTTAACTGTTTCTTAATGTATAATAAACACACAAAGCACTCAGAAATGACTGTAAATCTGTGTGCAACCACATTATAGTGTGTTATTGCTCATTTATTAAATATTCAATAATATACATTATGTTTAATGTAGATCTAAATAACGATTAATCCCCATTGATAACGATCAATGTGCATTCAGACAAACAAACAGAGAAGCTAATTGTTTACAGCCATGATCAAAGGTGCACATAAAGTGGTTGTTAAGGGCGGGAGCTGTGCTTACTCACCTCCTAAATGTTTCATCAGCTCTCTCTCTCTCACACACACACACACACACACAGACACACACACGCCTCCCTGTGCAGTAAACACGGTGACAGCAGCCTAACCTTCAGAGGATGTGATGCAATGCGTCATTATCATAATACATGCTGATATCATCGCTGCGGCCCTCCACCAATCAGCGCGCTTCACTTTCACCACCTGCTAGGAACTGAATTCCATCATTCCAGGCATTCCTGCCCTCCTCCCTCCTCCCTCCTCCCTCCCTCCTCCTCCTCCTCCCTCCTCCTCCTCTTCCTCGTTTAGCCTACAACCAAGTTTGTCCCGACAGCTCTGCTACTATTGTCTCTGCCCGTACAGCTCCGTGTGACCGCGGCTTGTGTCCCGTGTCTCTGTGGAATATACTGCTTTGTTTTTGTTTGTTTGTTTGTTTTTTCTGTGTGGATATTATCACACTGGAAGATACCAAAGTGGCGCTTGAAGGAGGTATGTGTGCTGTAAACATGAAGTTGTGTCTGACTGACATTGTTTCGGGGGTTGTAGGATGAGAGTGCGCTCTTTCTGCACATTCAGAGAGTTGTGGAATATTCAGCTTGTAAATAAAAAAGACTGGGGTGTAAACACACACAGGGCAGAGCTGGAATAATATCTGCCTCGTAATGTGACGGGTGAACATTTCATTCACGATATGAAGCGGGTCTGGCGGGTTCCCAAACTTTGTCACGTCAAGAAACCCCCTTTAAGCCACATGTTGTCCTCCTGCGGGGATCTGGGGACATTTACGGTGTCTCTTGTACTGTGCGTGGAGGACACATTGAAGTTAAAGCTGTATTTCGCCTTTTATTCTGTCTGGACACCTCTTAAGGGACCGATAAGGAAGCACTGAGTCACGCCGATATAAATACAACACTGGTGGGAATAACAAGAGACGCACTTGCTCCTATTTCTAATAATAATAACAATAATCGGCGTCATTTTTACGCACGTTTTCAGTAAAAGTTTGTCACCTTTCTTCACGCGCACCACGTAGACAGAGTTGTGTTGTTGTGACGAGTTGCAGGACAACAACCCTGAAAGTGTTTGCAGCTTAGTTTGAGGCTGCAGGAAGAGTTTTTAATGATAATCTTCCGCAAACGCTGTTTTCCTGAAGAAATGAGGGAAAGGTATCTCAGGAATGCAGAAAGAGGGAAGAGAAGCGCGCTGGAGCGTTTTTCTCCATAAATACCTCTCATAGCACAGCTACACTGAAGGCTCAGCACTGAGGGACAAAAATCCACCAAAAAATGCGGACATTTTTGGAAGGATGGGGTCCAAAACATCACAGGAAGGTCATTATTTATGTAACAAACTGTAGGACAGTAACAGTAAATATGTAGGTTGTTTATACCCTGTCAAAGGAGCAAGGCTGACCTTAACCCTCATCAAGAAATTCATACAGTTCCACATTCAAACATAACTTAAGTGTAAGTAAAGAAGTATCATCGGCAGTACTCATGCAGAGTGGTCCCTGCAAGTCTGTATTTGAACTGCATTGATTAGTCAATTAATCAATTAGTTGATTATCAGAAAATTAATCAACAATTATTTTACTAATTGTTTAAAGATTAGATGATAATAATGATTAAACTTGAAGTATTTTTTAAGCTAAAATGACAAATATGTACTGCTCCCCGAATCTTGTTAAGACACATTCTCACTCCGACCTCGTCACACATTAACGTTTTGGTCTAGACTTTCCACGTCCACATACGCTGTGAAAGGTACCCTGGGTGCGTGGGTTGTTGACATTCTGGGACACCTTGTCAAGTTCTACCTGTTACATGCATTGTCTTCTTTCAAAATACACTTCTTTTCACAGGAAATAAACGCACTACATCGGTGCAACACTGCAAATTGACATATTTTTTACTTCAACAACAAGCCCAACCACAAGCATTGGGTAAGGTTTAGGCAACAAGAACACCTGGTTAGGCAACGAAAACACCTGGTAAGGTTTAGGCAACAAAAGCACGTGGTTAGGTTTAGGCAACAAAAACACCTGGTAAGGTTTAGGCAACAAAAACACCTGGTAAGGTTTAGGCAACAAAAACACCTGGTAAGGTTTAGGCAACGAAAGCACGTGGTTAGGTTTAGGCAACGAGAGCACGTGGTTAGGTTTAGGCAACAAAACACCTGGTTAGGTTTAGGCAACAAAAACACATGGTTAGGTTTAGGGAACAAAAAAATGTGGTAAGGTGTAGGAAAATAGAACAGGGTTTGGCTTTAGAATCTTACAAGACGCAAACACGGCTCTCTTGGGCGAAAGTCAATGTTTGTTGGACCCATCAACCACCCCTCCTGCCTGCTCTATTTGGATTTTTGCTGCCTTAACTTTCACTCCCCTCCAGTGTGTGTTTATACACTGGCATCCTGAAATCAAAAGAGGCATGACGGGTGTGACGTGTGCATGTAACATACACATCGGTAGCGCTTTCTAAACAACAACAATGGCAGAACATGCCAGTCACAATCATTTACCTTCTCTGTTATATGGCAGCTGATCTCATCCTCTGCTTGGAGGGTGAGGAGCTCCCGAATCTCAGTTTTGACAAATTTACCACCGCTGTTCTCCTTCTATGAGTTAGCTGCTAACTGCTAACAGCTAACAGCTTTTTAAATCTCCCGTTGTGGGTCACCAACATAATAAAACGCCTGCTCCACCCATGGTTACATCTTTCCGGCTTTATGTTT